CAGAACATGATATGTTTATAACTTGTTCAGCTTTACTATTTTGCAAATTTTTAGTGGAGCCACAGCCAGAGTTTCGGCTTGACTGGTTACTAAGAAATAAACAAAGGATATAGTAGCAGAGGAGGCGGAGATGGTGTAGTGACAAGTGGGGCGCTCACCATTCGCGCGGTCCCGGGTTCGAATCCCGGGTCGACTCCCGCCCAGGCCAACCAAGCCTTCTACCCTCCGGGGACGGTAAATTGGTACCAGATTCGTCTGGGAGGATAAAAACTTGTACATCGGCTGGCCACCGCAAGTCATTGTATAGGCCACATCGCATTCAATAAGCCACTACGATTCTGAATGGAAGTAGAATGCGTGCCGCATCCCACAAAGGGATTGATCAACGGCGAAGACTTTATCCTTTATCCTTATTTATAGTAGCAGAATAATTTCCCCAAGAAATTTTGATAACTCAGCTCTAGTTTCGGTCCCGCAATTTCCCACACATATATTTCTTTCCGGGAGACTTCACAAATATACTGACACTCTTGAGTCAGCGAACAATGCTAAATAAGTTCAAACGAAGCGTGCTGCACCATGTGTAGCACGCGGCCATACAGAGGCAAACGGGCGTGCTGCACATGGTGCAGCACGTGGTATGCAATGGGTTAAATAGCAAAGAGGGCACTGGTCAGGGGAAATGAGAAGTGAGCCGTGGTTCGAGTGACTCTGCCAAAATTTCCTAAAAGTCATCAGTCCACCTATTTAGGTGCCAAAGCGAGTGTTCGATTTCGGCACATTCCAGCTGGCCGGCAAATATTATGGAGAAACCAGAGATTGTCTACATCGAGCTTAGATCGATAGAACATGCAAATTTGTTTGCATTAATGACTGTAAATTAGAAATGAGCTAGAGCAAAGTTTTGTCGTTGCTATTTGATAAAGGTCTAAGTTGAAGGGCAGAGGTAACGCAGCGGTTAAAATGCTGCTGCGCGCATCCCGTATTCATGTGTTGTCATATGGCTTCAGAATCCCGAGTGAAAACAGAGTGCATGGCGCATACCAAGAGATTTGTTTGAAACTTCGCACTGCATTCTTATTCTCCTACATTTCTTGTCTTATTAATTATCGATGTTATCACTCGTAAGCTTGTTAAATGGAGCATACTGGAGTGGGCGGAAGCAACCAGTGCACATCCCTTATTGACGCTTCCCTCCTCTGAAAGAAAGAGACTGCGTTTATACTTTGCGGCAGCGTAGCGTAGCGCTTCCAGCGTACGCCAGCGGCAGTGCCGAAGAGAGGATGCATATCGACTCCTATGCTGTCACCGAGCGCTTCACACCAGCCCGGGCAGCTAGCGCTGGCCGTAGCGAGGGCCATCAGGAGCACTAGCTATCGGATCTAGCTTCACCTCAGCGTTTCTCGCCGCCGTTTTCTCCAGCGGGCAACTCAGCGTTTGCTAGCGCTTGCAGCCGCATGGGTTCTAGTAGAGGGGACATTGCTGGCCCGCTGAGAGTAACGCGCGAATCGCTGCGTGGGTACTGTAGAGTACCATCGTGGCGTCGGAGACGCAGACAGCGACTCGCTGCATCTGTAGAGCGACCTCATTGCTGGCCGTCCCCGGAAGACGCCAGGAAGCGATGTGCATTGTAGAGACTAGGGGCGAGTGAGAGACGCGCAATCGATGTGTTTTGTACCCTCCAGCTCTCCCATAGTCTCTACTCCCCTGCCGCCCTAGCAACAGCCCTCACGCGCCTGCTGAAACGCCGGAAAAAACGGCTGTCGTACGCCTAGCCGTGCCGCTCGGTGAACGTTGGTGAAGGGCTACCGATCGATATGCCAATCATCTCTTCGCACTGCCGCTTGGCGTACGCTGGAAGCGGCCTACAGCTATGTTCCTGCCCGCATACCGCTACCGCTAGCGCTGTCGCCAAAGGTACTAATCGCAGCCAAAGGACGCATCCAGCGAGAAAAGGCAAGATCTCCGCTAGCATCCGCTCCAGTCTGATTATCGTGTAAAGTGCCGTCTTCAATGACACACACCATCTGGTTGGATGGTATGTGGCGCGGTGGCCCCCGTCACTTGGCGTCCACCTGCACGTTTGTCATTCTTCTATCTTTTTTCGCTTCCGCTCGTGGCCCAGTGACCGTCCGCTCATAGTACCTTCGATGCGCTTTGGTTTCGGTGTTTCTGTGCTATTTTTTTGAGCGAATCCTCGTCCCTTACCTTGTCGCATTTAACCAGTGGTGTCCCCGATTAGCCCGATACTAGACTTTTTCTGCCCTCTTCTGCCATTGGACCTTACTGCGTCTAGCATCCTCACCCAGCCCTCTCCTTGAGACGATCGCCATTCGTCTCTGATGCTCAAAACTCGATACTCTCATTGTCTTTCGTGTTTCAGGCTCCCAAGGCCTTCTCGAGCTCCTTTTACACAAAACTCCGTCAATTCACGATCTCCACTCTGTATCATTCAATTTTCTATATAAGAGTCTCGGCACAGTGGAAATCTCTATGCCCTCATACGCCTCACTCTCGCTTACTACTCTCCCGTGTAACTTTCAATCAACTGCTCTGTTTTATAATACTCCTCTAACGAGCTTTTCGTGACATACCGATTTATACTAGCATTCGCTATTCGGCGTGCAGTGGATACGTCACACTGATAGAGTATAAAGAGATACATTTAGTATGCTGCCGGCTCTGCTTATTCTGTCTTTCGTGCCAATGGCAGCTGCTCTCGGATCAGTCCAAGCTGTTGGTGTCAGGGGAGTTCTGATATGTCACGATAAACCGGCTGCTGGTGTGGAAGTCAAGCTCTACGACGAAGATAAGCGTAAGTGCAATTTACCACTTTCAGAAGAGAAAATTACCAGCGCTATTTTAGTTGAGCGGGATCGCGTGGTGGCGTGTCCCAGCTGACGAGAGTTGTGTGCGGCACAATCTCTCAGAAGAGACGTAGTTGAGCCGCCGCGTGGCCACGCTCTATTGCGTTGCCACTGAAAATCTGATGCCAGTGATGATTTGTAGTCACTCATGAGATAAGCAAATGGGTAAGGAAGCCTGAAACGGACAAATGGCATAAGGACCCTTGAACCCGCTGATAACTTCTGCAATCTTACCCACCGCACTAGCAGGGCTACGCAAACGGCAGCTATTTTATTGTGGCACACCGGATTACCAGCGAGTGTTGGCGCAAACAACTCACACTTTGGGCCTCGTTCATGCTTCGCGGCTAATGTGTACGGTTCGCGATGCGGGGACCGAGTCACTGCGACTGACTGCCGTTGCACGGCTGGTCGCAGGACCGCTGCGACACTTGTAAGAATTTCTATTCTGAGAGCGACTAAACACGTGGTTGCAGCGATTAAACGATTAGCAATGAGTAGCGGCCATTCACAGTCGCGCAACTGAATCGCTCGAGTCGCGAAGTGTGAACGCGGCCTCACAGGGTAATGCTGGACAGGTGTAACTAATCGTTGCCAACAATTTGACCCATCGCTCTAGCGTTAGCGACCGGCACATGTAATGATGAGTCTCGAAAAACCGGAGAACGTGAATAGAGCCCTCCATAAGATCCGTTGAATACTCGATAGTGATCGCCCCGAAGAGTCACCCCCATCCGTACGCTACTGGTGTTAAAACTTATATTCAGCTTTAGCTCAGTAGCCTCAAGCTTATCGTCCGACTTACTATAAAAGTCATGGGACGTCAGTCTCGAATGGTTTGTACGTCACGCCGTCGGTTCTGACTTCCTCGATGACGTCGCATCCTTTCCTCACTGTTAGCGCATTTTATCCACAAGGTAACGGAATAGGTCGATCCAGCCTTCTGTAACTGGGCTAGGAAGCGATAGGGCATCAATCGCGTCGAGCGATAGGCTCGACGCGATCGATGCGCATGCTTTCAAGTGCATTGATCGCGTCGAACGCGCGCCAGAAAGGCTGTCGTCGCGAAGTCTGAACGCTGCCTAACGGTCTAGACAGCGACCTTCGACCCAGTCTGGCTACTAACAGACCAGCACACCTCCACAGTAGACCCTCACTTACAGAAGAACTGTAGATTGCTTTCAATCTTTATTATTTTCACAGGTCCTTATAAGACGTAATAAATTCCTAGTGAGCCCCGACGAGTTTATGGCAGGAGGAAAGACTGACAGCAGTGGTCATTTCGAAATCAGTGGACATGCAAGCGAGTTCACATCGATAGAACCGAAACTCAACATCTACCACGACTGTGATGATGGAATCAAGGTAAGGGCCTATTCGTAAGTTTGGTACCCACATTCTAGTCTTCCACCGTGTCTAGAGGGACGTAGTAAAGGCGGTGTGAGGACATCAAAGACACACGACCACACATATACTCGAAATCCCTGAGATCGGGTAGGCGTGGCCGCATGTTTCAACTTAACCTGAAGGTGTCTATGCTTCTGGTGAGATATTTTCATCTTGACACAATTGTCGTGTCTCTGTCCAACACAGAACAAGATGACAGTTGTCCCAGACTGGAATATTCCACGAGTAACCAGTTCCGTGCCATGTTCAAATGCCACGCCTACTCTGGCTCAGGGATAAGGAGCATAGTTTGGGTGTGCGTGATTATCAGTCCCCCAGCTGTCGAAGCGTAACGGTTTCCCCGTCCTGGAGATGGAGATACAGGACCGTGAAACACGCTAATTCCTCCATGCTCCGCCCAATACCTTTTGCGGCGCAGACTCCCGTTCATGCTAACAGCCGTCGTGTGCGCGCGTGTCGCGTGCAGCGCTCTTGGCACTTTGCCAAGTCCTGTAATTGCGCTTTGGAATACAAATAAAACGCAATTTCCTGATGCGAATAACATTTGAGGTGTTGCTCATGCTGCAAAGTCCGAATAGAAGGTGATGAAGATGACAAAGGCTAGAAATGAAGAACAACGAATGTAGATGTAAAAACAAAAATGAAAAAATTAAGGAAATGCAAATTAATTAAAATCGCGTGTAAATTCCTGCAATTCGGCGCGATTCCGGCTCCAAAGCCATAGAAATACTTCAAACTAACGAGTGGGACGCTTAGGCCGTTTTTATTTTCATGTTTTGTGGAAATGCGCGGCCTCTGAGGGATATCGCAAAGCAGCACAGCTGCTCCGCTGAGTTCTGGCCTCGTCCGCATCTTCAGTTCTATTTGTTGCAGACACGCAAAATGATATTCGCATCAGGAAGTGTCGTTACTACTTTTTTCTCGAGAGCTAAGTCAACAAGAGATGCGTACCACGAGGCTGTTAGCATAAACGGGAGTCTGCGCCGCAAAAGGCATTGGGCGGAGCATGGAGGAATTAGCGTGTTTCACGGTCCTGTATCTCCATTCCTGCGCATGTTAGGACGGGGAAACCGCTTCGACAGCTGGGGGAAGGGGGGGGGGGGGCTGTCAGTCACGCGCACCCAAACTAAGTGTGATCGTACCATGTGTCTCTAAAGCGCGGCTTCCATGAGATTTGCATTCCTAAATATTCTAAATTGGTCTAGAGCAGGCCGTTTCTGATTTGCGCTAACTACTTATAACATAACAAACGAATACTATGTATTCATGAAACATTAAATATTCCCTGAAAAACTGTCCAGAAATTTCAATAACTACTTGCAGCCCTGCCAACGTAAGCTCTCCATCCACATTCCAGGCGACTACATAAGCAGTGGAGAGGTAAGCGCAACGATTGCCAAATATCGAATAAATAAAGTTCAATAAAGCTAATAAATAATTGAATTTGTCAAGCAATCAAATGGTCAATTTGTAAATTAATGAATAATCAAGTAATTAAAAAAAAGAAAAGAAGACAATAGCATGTTTCGCTAATTTTGAGGCTGACCTATTGCTTTTGCACTGAAGAAATTCGACTTTTCCGCTCGATTTCATTTTTAAATCATTTACTGAGATAGTAGGCTTCTATGATTGTTCATGTACAGTTCATGTATAGTTTTCCTATAGCAACGCTACTTTGAACCTCTTCCAATTGATATTTTATTCAGGTAGCAAAGAAATTCTTCGACTTCGGCACTTTCCAACTGGCCGGCAAGTATGCGGGTGAAACCCGAGATTGTATCCACAGAGTTTAGAATAGTATACATAGCCTTTTCTCTTTTGTATTGATGAATGTTCAATAAACGGTGGAAGGGTTTTTTTGTAAATTTCGGGCGCGTTAGACTTGGTGGATGCCCAGCAAAGCTTATACACGCCACCTCGTGGAAGCGTGCAATTCCCGTGACTAAGTGGCTCAGTTGTACCACTCCGCAGTTTCACAAGAATTCACAACTAAAACTAAAGGGAGATCCGCTGTTGAACATGAACCAACAAAACGAACTAGCGAAAATGTAAAATACCCGTCCCCCTTTTCAGTCTAACTGCCCCAAATTCCGCTGTTCGGTTTTATAGAAGAGAAAGAATGCAGTCCCAACCAGTGATCAACCTTTTTTTGGATTCGCCATGCGCTCAATGTCAAGAAATCACAGACGTTAAGTGCTTCGTTTCTGCAAGAGTATTTGAGGACCAACCACAGTCAGTGCTAGTTATGTGGCCCTTGTTTCAAGTAGCGTCCCAGGTTCGAATTATGGGCCAACCAAGCCTTCTACCCTCCGGGGACGGTGAATTGGTACCAGATTCGTCTGGGAGGATAAAACACTGACTTGTACATCGGCTGGCCACCGCAAGTCATTGTATAGGCCACATCGCATTCAATAAGCCACTACGATTCTGAATGGAAGTAGAATGCGTGCCGCATCCCACAAAGGGATTGATCAACGGCGAAAAACTTTATCCTTTATCACCGCAATTGTCGGGTCGCAATCAGCGGTTCTCACCTGCGGCGTTTCCATCATTGGTTGTTTCCTTCCTAAATCGATCTCTACCCGATCGCCATTGGTAGAGCAAGGGAGCCGAACGCGGACTCGAACCGCGCTGCTCACGCCGCCTCCGACAGTCCGCAATGATGAGGACTGTAGACCGCCCACGTGTATAAACTGCGCCTCCCCTCTGAAATGTTCCGCATCTCCTTGAAGTTGATAAACTGAACAGGTTCGGAGCCATTATTGCGGAAACCACTACCCTGGGCATTGAAAAGGCCATCTTGGCTCTGAAGGAGGATCTGGGTAAGCGCGGTTTATCACATCTGTAATCTGTCTTGGGTGCTTTATACCCCAACTCATTTTTTATACCCGCTCTTGATCTCACGTTCGATTTCCTGAATGGCATTTCTCGCATGCTTTCTTCTCTGATAGCGCGCCTATTAACAGGAAAGGCTAAAGGTCAAATCAGCCATCTGTAACTAAGATGGGAAGTGATAGGCGCTTCAGATAGTTCCTTCCACTGATCATCGGGTTTCTCGAGCATGCACCAGCAAAGCATCCATTCGTACCTGCGAGGCGCTAGGGTTGCACTGTGGGTCCTCTGGTCTCAAGAAGCACGCTTCAAAGCATTCGCGCACAGTTTTGACGAAGAAGCGTGATGAACGGGTTGGCGGTTCTAGAGGTTTCGTTTGAGATCCCGTAGAATTTCAGTCCGTAATAGCTTAGCGTAAGCTTTGAAATGCATGCCATGGCGGGTCCACATGATCTACGGAACCTTGCCGAACTTTGGCCAGGCGCAGTTCGGTGGGGGGGGGGCATTCTGCACTTTTGCTACTTCCCATCGACGTGTCGACCCATCTAGAGAGCCTTTTCGTGAGTTGATCGGTTTCACCATTGGCTTGATGAGCTTCGCTCCAGCTTCACAGAGTCCACAGGTTTTACCAGGTAAAGTATGCAAATTGGAACTAGTGGTGAATGAAAGTGCAAAATGCCTCCCCCCGTCGCCGACAGCGCCTCCCGGGCCGCGTCCTTTATTTCCGTCGTGCGGCTCATAGACTGGAAAGAGTACATGCCACTGCACAGCTCGATAGTACCCTAAAATCCCATAGATAAGAGCGGTCCATAGATAAGAGCGGTTTGTGCTAGAAAATGAAAATTGACGTTTGTATACGTTTTTTTGGCGTTGTGTGCTCATGATTATCGCAATAATAGCCTACAACTCTACCTTTATTCTTACTGTTTTCTATACTCTTTCTATCCTGTATCACCTGCTATGAAACCGTTAAAATAGCTATTTT